TGTTCGCTTTCCTCAGTTGAGCTCAGGAGTTTCCTCACTAATTATAGGAGTTCACATATAAATGCGGAAAAAGTGTACAGAACTACCAAAAATTTTCCATATTGTCACCAACGCGTATATTTTTCCACACTGGGAATGTACTCCAACTAAAAAAATTACTACCAGCTGTTCGATATCTCCCTTTCCTGCATGCGAATATCGACAACCCCAGTGTGCTTATACCTGTCCATAGCATCACCACTATGCCCTATGAGGCCGTACATACCAGCCACAATGGAAGTCGAAGGGGCAGCAACCATCCACATCGCATGGCTAATCGGAGGCGGCATGTCCGGCCGTATCACGGGATGGGCCTTTTTATACCTACCATAATTCCGTCACTTCATGTTCAACACACGCAAGACCTCACTGTATGATTGCCGCAGCCGTTCGGCGATCGATTCGAACACTGGGAAGGCCAGTAAACGCCGTTGGCAACTCTCGGCTCGTTCCAACCTTCAACACCATTTGCCCTGATCTCGATGAACCTTCACCATTCCGCTGATGCGTGGTCAACAACCAATGCGGTACTGGTAACTGTAAAGGCTTATGAGGGTCATCATATAACCACGACTTCGCTACTCGGTCCCGAAGGCTCTCTACTGGATTTGGCAAAAGATGCCTCTGCACTACCAAAGGGAGGTGATGCGCCAAGCCTGGTTGCAACATTTGTTCGACGAACCCCTAGCATGACATCAATGAGACAAGTCAGAATTGGACCGAGATCTACATCGTCCATTTGTTCTAAAATTTGCCGGGTGGTATTCTCAGAGAGTCCCTTGAAACCCGCTAGTAGGAACAGTCGAGACCATAATCTGAATGACACATATTTGCATGGAAAATCCACTATCTCACCTAGAGAGCCGAGCGATAGTGTTCTGGTCAAAGAAAATGTCAAAGACACTTGTGTGCAAAAGGAGGCGTTGAATGCGCGGCGGTATATACTCTAACAAACCGTGCTGACAGACCTTGATTGGAAAGGGATAGCGGGGTGAGCGAGAAGTGATGAAGATTACCTTGCAGTAGAAGCCAAGGCCGACTAATAACGTGCCAACAAGAATTGCTATTAAATGAGGGCATTGATTAAGCACCTGAATGCATGACGGTAGATTTGAACCTGGATGTCACGTGCGACAGTAATGCACCTTAACCGTCCGACTATATAGGCTTATACGAAACGATTACCTGTATGGTGAGGCCCGCCAGGCCCACGATGAGGATGCAAAAGCCGACCCATACCACGAGGGTCCAATCATCCACGTTTACCCTAGCTAAGGGTTGCCGATTCACAGATGATAACACGACAGTGCTAGGGGTCGGGTTAGCCCTCGACGCCAGCGTTCGGGTTTGGCGATGAGCTACACGCTCGGAACCTTCACAGACAGCACAGTAAGATTCTACGAAACGATCAGAAGCCCAACTTCACTCCGACCCTCGCAAACGCTGTAGAACCGATTGGTCAGTCCAAGTAGATATACAGTGATCGGGAGAGAACACCATTGCACGAATTGGTATCACACATCACATGCAACTACTCAACCGAGAGAGAATCCCGGTGACCATGGTAGTAGTATTGTATTATTCTACAAATTACTGTTTCAAACTGTCTGCTGTATTAAACTGTACTGCTATTATTCTACAAATTACTGTTTTAAACTGTCTGCTGTATTAAACTGTACTGCTATTGTTCTACAAATCACTATATGGTATATTGCGTAGAATAATTCTAATAATCGCGCTCCAAATTGAATTCCCACAGAGTAGGCCAGAGGCAATGAGTGAGACTATAGCACTGCCTACCTATAGCATCCTGATGGCTAAAGACCCCCCTGATGCGTAATGGTATTCGAGCTAATGGTCGGAGGACGTATTTCTGCAGTGATACCCCTACTCCTCCACCACCCTCAACCGCCATTATGTGTAACGACTCAACTGCGACAAGACCTTGCCAAGCTCTCACGATAGGGAAAAACGGAATCCCCGAGAACAGTATCCGCACTAGCTTCACTGTTTATAAGGATAAATCATTCTCAATAGTCATAATTCCTCAAAACTTGCGTTATTGCACGCAGGTTCAATTCTTGGCCAGGACACTATTGTGCGTATAGTCTATATGCACAAGTGTCGGTATAGTGTCGGTATAGATCTATACGGTATAGATATGACTGGACGAAGTGAATCAGACATATTCGGACGTATGAGTAGCGAAATTCGCTCCTCCTTGAGCTATTCGCTCGGCGAATAGCTCTTCAGAAGATGTTTGAGAGTAGATCAACTGACGCCATGGCTGCTGATATCGATCTCTCAACTGCTATCATCGAACTGTTACTCTACCAATGAGGAGATGTTCGTTGCCGACGACGGTGACCTACAGGCTGTGAAGAGTGGTCTGCGACGACCGTCTCCGAAATCGTCGGCAGCATCTGAAGTAGGAGATGTGCTGGATCGTCGAGTTGATGAGGTGTTGGCTCGAGCATCAGCTGAGCTACACAAGAACGAGAAGGATTATAAGGGTCGAGAGAAGGAACTCCTCCGTACTTTATTCGCCAGAGTGAGCAGGTTGGGCGGTATAACGATCTCTGATGGGTACGAACTGTCTCTGAGAAGGGAGCGTGGGGCATCTGGCAAGCCAGAATTTATTTTTGTGGTCAAGTGGACGACGAAACCTTCTTCGTCAGATGGTTCGTCCGAGGCTCCGAAAGGCTGGTGTAGTAGCTCTATGATACAGAAACTCGACGAGGACGAGCGATCTGACAGAAACTCGCCGAGGACGAGCGATCTGAGTTCAATCAGCACTGCTCTGTGTATACTGAGAGGGATTGATGGGAGAAGGACCTTCTCCGACCTTCTCGAGAAGGACCTTCTCAGAAGGTCGAGGAAGACGAGTCTGAACTTCGTAGGATACGTCGTTCCCATTTAACCGGGACGATCTTTCCAGTGAAGCAGAAATTAACAGAGTCTACTCGTATCCGGCCCGCTACGGGCCGCCCGTAACGGATATGAGAGGGGCCAACTTTTACCCACCGGCAGTATCTGCAGTTCAACCAACGGTGTTGATGGCAGGGCGAGGTTTGAGAGGGGTGCTCCGAAGAGGAGTGCAGATACGACAATACGACCTCGAGAAGGCTTTCTATTCTATCGGCATCGAGGTCATCGACGTGGCTACTGGTGAACATACTCCAGTCTACCTATCGGTCGGTGAGGAGTTGTTTGAGTATCCTAAGCTAGCCTTTGGGCTGGCGGTAGGTCTGCATGCGTTGAATTGTACCCAACGTATCGTTCGCAAAGTCGTTCGCTGCGCGTACGAGGTATTGCAAGGTGCTCAATGTCACGATGTCTACCCTACCATTCTTGTTGTCATGGACGACTTCGTAGTAGCCGGTGAGGCCCCCGTGCTTGATGTCGTCGAACAGTTGCTTTTGCTGGGTTGGGAACTGTGCGGTTTCAATTGCCCTGATGCGAAGCGTGAGAGATGGTCGAGTGGCCAACGTACCCGTTGGCTTGGGAATCTTTGGTGCTGGGACGATGAGCACGAGACGTTATCTGTTAAGCGCTGTGAAGCTGGTGGTCCCGGAGGCTGAGGTGTTGAGTAAGCGTATCGTGTTTCAGTTGGCCGGGAAGATCGGCTCGGTAACGGGAGGCGCTTATGAAGCTTTGGCGAGATGTCTTGCTGATTGATTTGCATGATGGTCTTCGATTACAAGTTGTTATTCTCGAATCTCTCGCTTTGGAGTATGCTACTGCCGTGCATGTTGAAGGCGGCTATTGTGGAGTACGAGCTACTCTGAGTGCTATGTATCAGAGCGCGTGGGGGCCAAAGTTTTGTCGACATGCTAAGCCTGCCGTGAAGAGATGTCTGGCTTGTGCTACTACTCGCTTCGATACTACTACGGCCCAGTTTCAGTCTGGTGCGGTGAAGATGCCTCAGAAGATGTTCGAAGTCTTGGGATGTGATGTCTATGGTCCTTTTCAGGATCCCTCTATGAGAATCAGTCGTAAGAACGCGGATGGTTCGGTTTTGTCGTAACCGAGTGGCTATGTCTAGGAAGTTGAGCTCCTCGGCTGAACGATTATCGCTTGGGGACAAGGCTGTTCTCTTCAATCCGGGTAAGATCGGTGGATCTCGAGAGTCCAAGCTCTCTGGTTGTGCCGCACAACTTGTGCGTCCGGGCCTTATTATGTGCTCGAGAATGTTGGGGATCAATGCTATCGTCTAAGTTCAACTTCCACTGGTCAAGGACGCAGTGCACTATTCCATGCAAGTCGCTTAGGGAAATACGATGGTCCTGCGAATCCGGAGTCCAATGTTTGTCCACCTTGCCAAGATCTTCGTGACGATATTGTTATGGTTACCTGCGATGGCTGTAATCAATGGTTCCATATTTCCTGTGTTGGTTGGAACGAGGACTCAGATGCAAAATCCACCGTAAACTCTCCTATCGATCGGCCAGAATACGGTGAGAGTCGTTAGACTCAAATCTCGCTCAGAGCGAGTCGCTCTCAGAGCAGACTCAATACACGCCTCACGAGCACTGATAAACTTGATGACAACTTGTCATTGACAAGGTAGATACCACAATAGAGCTCTACGCAGCTTCAATGATGTCGGGAATAACCACAACAATAACAACCACAGCTTAAGTTAGTTATAAACCTGACTCCACTAGCTTGACGCTAGAACACAATTATGGAGACTAGAGACACACACAGAATCGCAATAACTTCCTATCAATTATTTCTATGAAAGTACCGTTACCCACACCTCCACAGTTGAACGAGAGAATTGCCTCCACATTTGAACGAGGACCAAGGTCGTAGAACCAATCGTTGAATCTTCCCGACACGAGCGCAAGGATCTTAGTCTTATCTGTTGCAGCTTACAACAGCGGGGGTATCATCGTCTACCTCCATAATCATTTTCACGTGCTATCCGTTGAGTAGGATTATCCTGACAGATATCGCAAGGGTAACAGACTCTGACGCAAGGATCGCTGGAAGCGGCAATTGACGTGATGTTCTGGCGAATTGGCCCAATTCAATTGGGCACTCTGAAAGATCATATCGATCCGAGGATTAGTAGTCTGGATTATTGCTCGTTCCTCCGAGGATTGAGTTGCCGGGCCTTTGATGGGGTGCTCCTGACGACCAAGATGAGAAAGTTTACAGGCGACGCCGATCCGGTGTTCACTAGACTGGGTTGCCATGTCCTGCTATGAAGGAATCTTATTCCCTCACCTCGGGGCCCGAGGATCAAATCGATCTGAATGCGCTTCTCTGCGACTTGATCCTTCCTTGGATGAGCTGCATATCACTCAAAAGCTAGTGCTTATGTCAGGAGAGGCTCTCACACTCAGCTCTAACTGAGAGCTCGGGTTGCAGGAACTCTTATGCATCGGAGCTTCCACTAGGAACCACCAGGCGTACTCGAATTGAATTCGACGAATTCAATGGAGTTCTGCGACTCGTATCACAGTCTGTGATTCACAGAACTGGATACAGCTAAATGATCCCTCGAAAATACCACAACGTCACTTTTAGGACTGCGCCGCCATTGACTGAACTCATTGCCATCGAGGTCTCAAGAAAGAGTTGACTCGAGGAGCGGAATAAGGAAAAAAACCGCACCTATCCACCACATAATGAGAGGGGCCACAGCCCGGCCCGAATAGAGCTCATGTGCCCAAGATTGTCTAAGGATACGAAAAAAAAACCCTGCCGAGGGAGGGGGGGCCGCTATGAGAACTATTCGCAGTATCCATTGACGCAATGATAAGCGGGTCCTAGAGCATCCCGACATTCATTATCAGCTTTGCAAGGGATCGTACACTTACTGCTGATGCATTTAGGTAGTTCGGGAGGACAGTTCTTATCGTTATTGCAGTAAATGACACCGAGAGAGTCTCTTAGCATCGCCTGCGGACGTGCCTCCACTACTAGTAGTAGAAAGACGGAGATGATGAACTTCACGAATGACACCATTATGTAACTTGATGAGCTGAAAGGTGTACTGCTGATGTGCAAGAATTGATGCAGTGGGAATCCCCCGAAGCAACTACGAACCAGAAGAATTCAATTGCAATCTCGCTGAACTCTCGATCTAAGTTCTGTGTCGCGATTATTCAACACGATTTTAGATTAAGGCCCTTAATCTAAAATCGTGTTGATCGCCCTTAATTTAAGGGCGAGATGGGTCGTTATAATGAGCAGAAAGAGCGTGGATACCCGTGAGGTTACGTGACGCATAACTGATGCGTCATGACAGTTTGGTGTCG